CTTCCGTCCTTCAGGCGTACACTTCTGACCAACAATGATGACTTCAGGTCGGCAGATCTGGGCTTTGAGGCCCGAGAAAGTAATGCCTGCGTGTCCGACACGGTGCAGAATGCGATGGACATCATTTGCGTGCTCCCATATAAACCTCCGTATGCCTGGGTTCTCGAGCAATGTCTCTGGGAGACCATTTTCATCGAGATACTGAGTGGTGGGACCTTTGATTGGCAAGTCATCAATGAAGACATTGGCAACATCCGGGATTTCATCTTGGAGAACAAAGGTCATGCAGGCTTGGAACTCAGCAGGTGAGTTGGTGAATCCCATGGGCATTGATGTCAACCGGAGCAGTCCTAGCGGTGACTGGAAGGCTGTGAGGTCACGGCTGACTGGGTCGAGTTTGCGTGCATCAAATGCCCAGAAGAGGTCGAGTACGGTGTAGCACTGTCTTCCGGCAAATGGTTCTACAAAGTCGTCTAGACTTGGCGGGAGTCCTGCATCTCGGATGGTGATGGCGTTGAGAGGCTGAAGGTCATGGACCAATCGGAGCTTCCCGTTCTTCTTCAACACACAGAACCATTTGGACCGGTACGAGGATTGGCATCGCTCGTATACTCCTGCTTCCAGCTTTCCTTTCATCAGCTCTATGACTTGCTCGCGTATTCCTGGTGGAATGGGTATGTTCTTCTCGACCCAGGGTACATGCGGGATGGTGGGTATGATGTAGGGAGAGAAGTAGTCCTCACGGAAGGTTCCGCGGTCCGACTCCTCAAATGCAAGTACCCTTTCATTGAGTCGGAAGATGTGCTTGAACAGTTTTTCTTCTTCGGGCCATAGGAATCCGTCCTTGTTGATCTTCATCTCCTCTATTCTCTCCATGGTAATCTTCTGGGTGGGTATAAACTCGGATGGTTGCTTCGGCAGCGATGGCAGTGTGTCCAGGGGGTTCTCCGGGAACTGGCGTATAACACGTGCGTCTTCTGGAAAGACTCCGGGTATCGGTTTGACTCTGCGGTCGACTGGCTTGTATGCTCCAAACACTTGGTCTGGGGCGCATGTGTCTGAGGTTGTTGCTGAGTCATCGAGGAGGTCACGTGGATCCTCAATGATGAGAAAGACAATTGGACGTCTCTCCATAGGGTACGACATGTTGCGTGCACGGGGTGGGTGTGACTTGTTTGTAATGCTGGTGTTGGCAAGTTGCTGGTTTTGGGTTGCTTGGGTGCACTGCAATGCGACGGGTGCGGGGGTGGCCAGTTTAACGTCGTAGCGGGGACGGCGTGGGATACATATATGGTACAATGTCCAGTCATACACGCATACTACTTCTGCCTGCTGCTGGGATACTAAGCGGGCTGAAATAGATATGGAACAGTGCAGACATACCACACTCCAATCCGCGCACTCGATGGACTCGTCGGCATCCGTACAAGGTGCTCGCCGCGCAGCGCAGGGTCCAGTGGGTACATGGCCGTGGCGACGGGGATGGTGTGGGTGCTGTTGGGCGCAAGATGCCCCATGATGTCGAGGACCTTGGACATGGCGAGGGCGAAGTACCCATGCAGCCCTCCGAGCTTCTGGTAGTGCACGGTCATCTGAACAACACAATGCGGGAGGTGCTGCGGGATGACGGCGAGAACGACAAAGTCCTGCTGGTACTGCACGATGCGGTCGACGTAGCCCGTGAAGCCGATTGGGCGAGTGGCTGGGAACGGATTGAAGAGGCGGATGTGCGAGTGGAGGTAGACGTGGTGGTCGTCTCTGCCGCCATCGTAGACGAGCGTTGTATAGCCGTCCATGGCGAAGACGTAGTAGGCGGGGAGTTCGGCGGGGACGATCGGGGGCATGTCTGAGCGCGTCGGGGAACAGTGATGGTGGTATCGGGGAGAGTGAGGTGGCCGGTACACATGTGTTTGTGAAACGGCTTCGTGCGTGATCGGGGATCAATGGTAAATCTTGATGCTTGCTGTGTGCTTCTTCGGCATTCTCCGTCCTATACAGACACGGGTTGCTGGGTGGTCCGGCTCGCCCCGCAGTCATAAATTACGACCTGCGTTTAGAGTCCTGGGTATGTGTTCGCCCCACAGTCATAAGACTTGAACTTGCGGGGTGGTGACAGTGGCAGAAATCATTGTTGGGAGGGGGACTTCGCGCACTGGGGACAGTGACATCATAGGTGCAGTATAGGCTTCTCTGGGATCAGCAGGACTGAGATCGAGGATCGGGGATTTTTGATGGACTGGGTCTGGACTTTGACAACCTTCTCTGAGGCCTGGTCGGGGCGGGTTTGATGGGGATGGTCTAGGCTCCGCACGTGGTGTCTCCTACTTCTTCCGTGGTGTTCCGGGAACTCCCTTGCTGATTCTCCAGTACGCAAGCCCTCGTGGCTATGGCATGGCAAACATCAGGCTTCTTGGGCGTCTCTGATACATCTTCTTCATCTCATACGTGCTTCTGTGCTGCGGTAAACCTATCGCCGAGCTCCGCCGGGTAAGTCCGAGCTCCGCCGACTATCTCCAGCTCCCAAATAGGGCAGTGCTTCCTGATCGCCGGGATCTCCATGTCCTTCTCTTCTCTGATCCCATGAGCGGGGTCATGCGCTGATGCCGGGCACAGCCTGGGTTGCCATGCGTAATCCTGATGGCCGACTGACGCTCGTGTGTGCTGAATAACTTGCGTGTCGTGCGCTCCTCTCCTTCCTTTGTCCACTTTCTCCTTCTCCTGGGCCATTCCTCCACTGTACGGCCTCGTCCTTAGCCTAGCCCTGGGACGAGTGACTCCGTGATCCGACCGACCTCGTACGTCCTCTGCTAAGGGTGGGTAACACGTTCTTGACGTTGCTGGGGACAGATGGCCATACACGGTGCCAACCCGTTCAAGAATGGTCGGTTGGGGTGGTGATAACTTATTCCTTTCCTTGGTGCGTCGCGTGTGTTCTTCGTCCATCTTCAACTCCTAACTTCTTTGGCAGCACATCTTCATCTGGCGATGTCCAGAGCTCAGGGACGGAGGCAACGAGCCATGGGCCCTGTTCATCGTCCCCTTCCAAGTATGTCCTTCTTCGCGTGCTCTGTTGCTCCTTCTGCTGACTCCCTGTCTAGCTTTCCATAGACCGAGCCCCTACCGTAGACGGTTGATTGCGGCTCTTTACGACATGTAATGACCCTTATGACCCTTATACTCGCTTTTAATGACAATCGACAGTGGTAAACATCTTGTGTGTGCAAGTGCGGGTGCGTGATGCTCAGGTACACTTTGTCTGTGTTGTCTGTCTCTTCTCCCTGTAACCCTCCCTTGCAATGAATGCACACTGGGTGTCCTCTCGAATACGAGTGTGTCATCAGTGGCTTCCATTGCGATAGATGGTTGCATCGCGATGGGGCACGGTGAACACTGCGGGTCTATAGAGCTGGGGAGTTCGGCGGTACGGGCGGAGTACTCCGTGCTTCAGCAAGTGAGGTGACTTCTCCGTTGGATGTGGTATTTTCCCAGTCATCATCCATGCTATGGTCCGAGTCTGCGGTGTCCGTGTCGGCTGTCATGCTGAGGTCGTCAAGGGTCTGTGAGGTGAGAGTCTGCGAGACTGAGACTTCTGCCTCTGGTGCGGTGACCCATTTGACTCGCTGTCGGTGTGCACTAAGTTCGTCTGCCTCGAGCTCATCCATGAACTCCTCTATGTCCATTTGGGTTAGGTGCGGGAGGAAGCGTGATTCCGATGACACAGGTGAGTTGTGCTTGCTGAGTACAAGGGAATCACTGGATTTCTGTGTGACTGCACGGTCCACTGCTTCCGCTTCCTTGACACGTTCTGTTGTGTGCGGGAAGTAAATCATGTGCAGGGCAGCATGGCCTTCTCGGTACACTCCGTCAACCTTGATAAGCATGTTCCGTAGCAGGAATAGCTCCTCATCCTTTACGCCGTATGTCTTCCAGGACTCGTTGAGGATCATTCGGTCCGCTGAGAGAACCTCTGGGATGTCTATGAATGGCTTGGCCTCATCTTGGTCATGCTTATGATCCACAAGGTACTTGATGAGCAGGTCGCGATACATCCGGTTCTCAATGGTGGTGTCACTTGGACCATCCTCATGGGGTGACTTGAGGTCTACATCCCACGGGTCCCGGTACGATGGAACGTACAGGTCTGCCTCAATGTTGTCCTCTTCTCCGGCTTCTTCGGCTATGGTTGGAAGCGCATGTGTGTCTGTTCCATCCGTCTGTGTGCCTACATCCTTCTTGGTTGGGTCCATCATTTCGCGGAGGCGGTGTGTCTCAGAGAAGTCCATCACGGGTATGTCCGGATCTTCTCTTCTGATAGAGGCACACATCTGTGCTGCACGATGCCATGCCATCTGCTGAGCTTGCGGTGATGAGAGGAGAAGTTCGTATGTCTTCCGGCCATCCTGGGATCGAACTCCAATCATGACTCCATCAGCGGAATGGCGGAACCACATCTGGTTACCGTGCTGCCATGGCTGGCCAAGAATGCCTGGTGTGGTGAGGTTGTCGACGATATGGAGATCCGTGACAGATGTGATGCTCCCAAACTTGAGTGGTGTCCTCCAAACTCCTCGGTCTTTGAGTGGCTGTCCATTTGCATTAATGAGCCGAAGGTTGTGGCGGGGCCAATGGAGTGATCCTCCCAGAGCCTTGTATATGTCCGTGTGGATGCAGTCTACCTGTGATCCCGTGTCCAATAGGAACGGTATCTCCAAGTGACCAATGGTAATCCGTAGGATGATCAGCGGTGGAGGCTGTGGCAGATAATGCATGTGATGACGGCCCATCGGGACTACACTTCCAATCGTGATCGAGTTTACAGGTACCCTTGGCTGTACTGGCTGGAATGGCAGTATGCTGATAAGCACATGTCCACGGTAGCTTCCGAATTGGTTGCTAAGAGAGGCGTTGGGAAGGAGGAATGTGGTGAACTCCTCTTGTGTGGTGTCATGGAACATAAACGAGTGGTGCGCAGCAACTGTGGTAGGTCCAGTCTGTGAGATGTGACTGAACTGTGGTGTCTGAGGTGCTTCTCTCATGCTCGGTGGTTGCGTTATGACCGTGTTCAGCTGTCCAGCTAGTGGAACCATAATGTCTCCTCGTGGTGGAAGGATCCGGGTGTGCCATGACCTCTCCATGTCCTCGTCGTCTGCATCGTAGCCGGCATCGTCGGTGTCAGGATTGAGGAATGGACTATCCTCATCATCAGAGTCATTTGACGGGGTTCGGATGGACTCGTCATCATCCGAGCTGCTCTCTGAGTCAGTGACCAAGTCGGGCAGGTCGTCTGAACTGTCTGAGGTGTCAGAGGCACTGCTGTCTGATGCGAGGTCAATGTCCTGGATGGGTCCTACAATGTCATCGGCTGTCCACTCCTTGATGGTAGCATAAACTCCTGG